TCTTCTTTTTCTTCTCTAATGGATTGACTCTAGATACACTGACTAGTTTCCAGTGGATGAACCTGCACCTTAGCACATTTGATTACAAATGTTTGGCTGGATAGGACTTAACATATATGACAGAATGCATTTAATCTGTTGGGGGGTATGAGATACAGATGGGTAGTGTTTCTAAGTTTGATTAAGGTCTATTATATGAAATGTACAAAACCTCAATAATATTTTTAAAACTTTAGGTCATTTGCTCCAGTGGATGGTCCTCCAAATGCAGCACAGATTGGATTTGATTTACTATGTTTAAAAAGGGGGACATGATGTTGAGAGAGGGAGGGGAATTGAGTTGTATTTGGGAGAAGTTAGGGGATTACTGCAGGTGAAGATCATCAAAATACATCGTATAAAATTCTCAAAGAATTAAATTAAATATATTTTATTTTAGAAGGGATCATCCATACTCAGAACTTAATTGCTCGAGATTCACAGTGCGGAAATCCTTGCCTTCAGCCATGTTCCCTCTGATGGCCCCACCATGCTCCCATGGAGAGTTTCAATGCAATGGTCACACAAACGGCTTTGTTAAAGGAAAGAGGTCACAGAGAAAAATAAAAAGTCATGAACAGACTGTGATCCTTACAGATGGCCTGAGAGGGTGGGTTCGGACCTCCATCCTAGCGGCTCTGATCTCAGTAGACCTCCAGAGAGCCCCTGGATCCTGCCTCCGTGTCATCCAACCACTGGCCTCAGAAACTCAGAGCTCCCAGACTGCAGGCTTGTTGTCAGTAGATATGTCCCTGGCCACTGGAAATAAAGTAAAAAATTTTCAAATTTAAAATAGGAGGTTACCTCTTTTATTAAATAAAAACCTTGAATACTTTGCTTCTTATTGTTATAATGAAGGATTCCTTGCATGCTTCATACTGCAAATTGTTTCTCTGAGCCCCTTGTTAGAACCAGAAGAATCCCAACCTAGCCATGAAAAGGGGGCTGAACTCTAAAACAAAACTAATTATATCTCTCTTGGATCAGAGGCACCTGTTACTTCCTAGGTCTGATGAAATGGATGAATATTTTAAAAGATACTCTGAATAAAGATACTCTTCTATGCAAGAACCGACTGGATCTCCTTGTGCTGCACTATTGCTAGATACATTTTTGAATCTCTAGGTTGAAATTTTAACTATTCTAAATAGTAAAACGGATAGCAAAAATTAAATTTCATTTATTGATCTCAATGTCAAAAATCAAGAAAAAGCATATATCAATGTAGTATTTCTCAGGCCAGACATTAGAGAATTCATTGATCTTGTAAATCTTTAAGACTTCCTACTCGCCTCTCAGAAATGCCAGATTCTCCACTTATGATGCTCAGATCAGCAGAAGCAGGGCCTGGATGCCCGGCCCTGGCACTTCCTTATTTCTTCTAAGAACTCTGAGTCAGAATCACAGAGCCTGTGGCTCAGGACTCCATGTGGTGAGTAGCTCTCCATGTGCTTGACAAACCTGCTAAGTTGATTCCAATTAAGCTGGAGAAAACTAAACTCCAAGTGCACCAGGCCTCTCATCCAAAGTGTGGAAATTGTAATGGCTCTAAGTCCCAGGTGACAAAGAATGAAAGAAAATGAGATGTTTGCATCACTAGGTTAAGACTTCCATTTAAATGATTCCTACCATATTATTT